AGTCACTGAAAGCTTACTCTATTTTATTTGATGCCTTAATTTTTTTTTCAAGCATGAATAGATCAAATATTATCAACATTTTATTCAAATCTACCTGATCGTCTCCTTTCCTACTCAACCCTACCAAAAAATAGTAATGGTGGACATACTTGTTTTGATAACCTTAAATCACTTTAATATCACCCTGATTTATAACTGCTGTGCTCTTGAAAGTACGCTTTGCGTTTGGAGACGTTTGGGCTTGTTCTTTCAAAAGTGATGATGGCAGTGCTAAGAAATTCCATTCTTGTGAACCTCAGTCTTTGTGTGTTTGCCGTGGGAGTTCTTGGGTAAGGGTCGGGGGAGCTGACTTGCTCGGCTATGCCCTTGGCGGAGCATCAGCCCCGTGAAAGGGCACTGCTTAAGGGAGCAGTGTTTGGCAGTCCCTCACATGCTGGACCAGTCCCTGTTAGGCATGGGCAGCCTCGGAAGAATCAACCTCTAACGTTTCAGTGTGAAGATCTCCCAGCACAGCTGAGAATTAGGTGGATATTCATAGGAATAGTACCAACTTCAGTTGAGACACACACATTCCCTTATATGGGATGTGACTGTGGGAGATTCATGAAGTAGTACACCTGTACATTTTCAGTATTTATAAAGTGATTTCTAAAGCATGAGAGCATTAAGAATGTAGTAAAGGTGTGACACTCCAGCATGGAAGACAAATTCTGAGATGGAGCTCTGAGATGGCCCCATTTTATAATCAGCCTCATGCTGTCATTTTCTTGAAAACTTTTTGTCAACTTTTAAGCTTCCTTTGTCACAAAATGAAGAAGTTTTGACTTACACAGCAGGCTTTCTATTCTAGCCTTGAATACAGTTAGAAAGTGGGATTTAACATCTTCCTTTAATAAGCCATTCTGAGTCTTTCTCTACATTTTGGAAATTGGAATTAAACCAAAATTTTAATACTGAAACTTGAGTTCATGATTATCTTATGTTTAATAGACATAAATTTGATAGCCTTTTCCTTAAGAAAAGTTATTTCACTAGAAACTCTATACTCTCTACTCCAAAATAATGGTTTGGATGACCAAGAAAGGGAAGAGTTGTGCTTCTGAAACCTAGACGCTATTGGAACAGGGTAAATTTAGAATTAAAATATTTACAGCACAGATGAAGAGAGCTATGTGGAAATGCAGTCAAGCTATTATTATCATTAGACTATCACAGGAAACATTTGTATCCTCTTTACATATTGAATTAAGCTGTAAGTCTTTTTAGATGGAGTCTTGTTCTGTTGCCCAGGCTGGAGTGCAGTGGCACTGTCTCGGCTCACTGTGACCTCTGCCTCCTGGGTTCGAACGTTTCTCCTGCCTCAGCCTCCTTTGTAGCTGGGATTACAGGCATGTACCACAATGCCCAGCTAATTTTTGTGTGTTTAGTAGAGATGGGGTTTCACCATGTTGGCCAGGCTGGTCTCAAACTCCTGATATCAGGTGATCTGCCTGCCTAGGCTTCCCAAAGTGCTGGGATTACAGATGTGAGCAACCGCACCAGTCCTGAGCGGTAAGTCTTAATATTTTATTAGTTAATACTACTGGAAAAGTAATTTTTAAAGAGAACGTGATTATTACTTCAGAGAAGAGCCACATCCTGGATTAGTTGAAATCTAAGGACCTTTATCATTGAATGGTGTATTGGGAATTACTGGTAACATATAGCTATACCTTTTCTCAACATTTAGAACATTGGCTGCTTCGGAAGATTAATGGTTTTATTTTGCCAATAGGGATTTCTAAACAGATAATTCCCTTGGGGTTCTAAAAGCTATTGTACATTTCTGTAAGACTTTGTATTTTTATGTCAAATTTAAATTTGTGTAAGCAACCTATTTAAAGAAAAACCCCATAGATTAGCATTAGGTGTGCTATTAGTGCCTGGGAAATACAGAGACAATCAGTGTTGGCTCTAAATATGTACAATTAGTTTCAACATTTTTAAAAAGCAAAAAACGATCCACAATATATGTCTTTTGTTTCACACAGTTGCTGTGATTGGCTGATAAATATTTGTCAAAGAAAGAAAGAACTGAAAGCTCGCACGGTATGGCTTGGATGTCCCGAAAAGTGTGAAGAAAAACACCCCAAGAATTCTATAAAAAATCAAAAGTACAATGTGTTTACCTTTATACCCGGGGTAAGACCATTGCATTCTTGGAGATGGGTTGTGTGTCGGAGATCCCAGCTTCCTTTCCTGTAGGGCAGAGCCTATTGAGAATCTCACTTAGGTATTGAATTGTGTCACATCCAAATCAGTGTCCTTTTGCTTTTGACCATCTGTGTCCCAATAATTGTTAAATAATTCATATGTATTTTTAATGGCTACATCATAGAGTTCAGGTCAAGAAACAATTTGATTATTGCCTTTGGTTCTTGATAAACATCATATTTATATTATTTTTGAAATTTAGACATAAAGAAGTAAAGCTAATAAAATTATCAGAAAACAAGTTATATATTTTGGCTGGGAACTAGTTTGGAGAGAAAAGTGAATGTAACGTTTAAAGCCTGCCATGAAATTTTACAAGGAAAGTAAAAATAATTTTTTACACTGAAATGATACAATAACAAAATATCTGTAATAAGCTTATTTATATCTAGATGTCTTTGCTACTTTGCATTATAAATCTCAGGCCTTGTTATTATCATTAGTTATCTTCAATTGGGTATTATGCTAAATTTGAATCTGTAGTTTAAATATCTTAGTACTTTTTTGTTGCTAGGGATATTACTAGCTTAAGTTATAAAACAGTTCATATACGATTAGAATAGTTGAATAATTTTTGTTTTTTTGTGACATTTCTTATTTTAATAGATTTATTTATCTTTCTAAAGGAAAAGGAAGCTGGTATTGATTATATTTCTATATTAAAGTTTTTGGCATGTTTGATGTCTTTTATTTGCAAGATAAGCTCTTGATTACATGGAATGTGGGCTGCTTTATCTTGTATGTTTAATTTAAATAATCATGCTGACATTGTATTGGGCATTGATTTTACCCACACCCCCACGTCTTCCCCATCTACCTAGTGATTGGCAAATGCTTGATATCTAATGTACTTCTTTATTAAAACTCACAAAACGAATGGCTTCATAATTAAAAGACTGATCTTTTGTCAGGATAATAAAGTGTAAACTGTCTTATAGGCAGATAAATATTCACATCTTTATTGAATGAAGCCACTGTTTTCTGCCTAGGTTTAAATTATTAAATACTCACAGACCTCAGAGATTGGCTGAGCGGTATACATTTTCCTAAAGGTCAGCAGGTTCAGTCAGTAGACAGTAGAGTATTGATTACAGTAGTTTAAAGCTAGCAGTGCAGCTTAACTTTGATTGGTGCAAGTCCACACAGTCTGCCCAGATTGGCTGCATGCTGAAAATACCTGTGGATGTGACTGTATGATGATTACCATGTGCATGAGTTTTTTTTCTTGATTTGTCTCTGAAATTAGTCTTTTCATCTAAAATATAGTATTTTAGAACATTTGGTAATTACACAGTAGGAATTCTATGCCATTTTTACCATGAATGGCAATTTCTAAATTGCTAATAGATATAATTTATGCTAACTGAGATTTTAAAGAAATCACTAAGGAAAAAGCACTTTATTTCCTGCTGAGATTAATTTATGAAATAATTCAAAACATTTTTAGACAGCAGGTTGAACATGATTATGAACATAAACGCATTGTCAGTGTAACCGATTTTGAGTCTCACACATCGCTGTATGATGATGCAGATAGCCTCATTATCTGAAAACGAGTCGCAGACTCTCTAGTCAGCAGTAAGCACTTAACCCATTGCCCTGCTTGGTGAAATTTTCATTCCTTCCAAGTGGCGTAGAAATGGCATCCATAGAGATTGTGATTTGTAAGTTGCAGGTTTGCAAGTTTGATTTTAATTGTAGTGTGCTGTTTGAATTATTCTCATCTGTAAACATAAGTTTTGTTCCATTTTGATTTTCAACTTTAATAATTTGAGGCATTTGTAAATCGAGATCTATTAGTATTAGATCTTGGGTTTTCTTCCCTAAAGATAACTATTTGAATTGAAAACCAAAACCTTTCAGTATTGACATTTCTAAAATTTTATTGAATGATGAAATTTCATTTATATTCCAAACTATTACTAAGGATTAACTACCCAAAGACCGTGAGAGGAGGTGGGTTGCTGTCTTCCTGAAAATTGGTCTGCAACTACACATGCTTATGCTTTACCATTTTTGGTGTTTTGAGGGAAGTAAATACCCGCTGGAAATTGAGCCAGTCTATCTCAGGAAGCCACACCTGTTCACTCAGGCTTTGTAAAGCTACATGGATGTCATGGATGTCTTGGATGGGAAAAAAAAGTGGCTATTTGTTTCTTATCATTTCATAAATACAGTGGAATAAATACAATGGAATAAGACTTTTCCATTGTAAGATTTACTGAGTCATTATCAAGATATACCTGTATACTGGCTTGCTGACATTGGGAAGGTTTTGCTGTCTAAATTTTTTTTTTGTCGTTCATGTAAAAACTTAGTAAATGAGTGTGGAAAACTGAAGAATTTCATGTAAGAAAAATAAAAAACTTTGAGATGACATTTTTAACGTACTTGAAAGTCCTAATTATCTCATCTTTCAGTTTATTTAAAATATATTTTGGGAGTAATCCTACCTTTGTTTGTGATATAACTATCAGAAAGCCAATGTGAAAATTAATTTACTTTCAATCAGAACACATTCTCACTGTTTGATGGAAATGTGGTTATATGTTGTGCTGATTTCAGTTGTTTAATTTAGGTATTAAGTTTTTTTCCTTGAAGCAATTTTGTTAATTTTCTCTTTTCCTTTTTAGGTTTTATATGAACAATTCAAGTTTTTCTTGAATCTCTATTTTCTGATAATATCCTGCTCACAGTTTGTACCAGCATTGAAAATAGGCTATCTCTACACCTACTGGGCTCCTCTGGTAAAAGAAAAGACTTTAAAAATTAAGTTAAATTATGAAATATTTAGAATATAGTTTTAAGAGTTGAGATGGTTAAATGTTAAATTAACCAGTTTTAAAAACATGGTATTGTTGCAGTGTATCTCTGAACTTCTGTTGTTAAAAGACTTTGCTGAGTGACTTCAGTCCCTCAGAGAACCATGGGAAGTGTGGTGCAGAGCTGCTGAGGTTACCAAGTGCCTGAGCTGGTGGCAGACGGGCTTTCGTTGGTCATGCTGCACCTAGGTTAAGATTTCAGGTCATCAGCAGCTGCCTCCTCCATGATGCACCTGTTGGGAATGGGGGCTGGGGCTGTGTGTCTGTTCTGTTACTCTCTTCACACCCTGACAAGTGGTGAGCATTCTGAAGTATCTAAGTGCAGTACATATGATTTCTGGTTGACAGCTCAATGTATAATGTTTTTCAAAAGGCCAGTGATACTTATCAATGAATGTTTCCATTTCAAACATATGCTGTCTTGATAGTCTTAAGGCTTAAGCAGTTGTCTTACAGTTTTCATTAATTTTCAGCTTATATAGACCAGATGTATGTCGTCTTTCCTTCTTTCATAGAAAAATGTACTACTATTTTTTTTTTTTTGAGACGGAGTCTCACTCTGTCGCTCAGGCTGGAGTACAGTGGTGTGATCTTGGCTTACTGCAGCCTCCACATCCTGAGGTTCAAGTGATTCTCCTGCCTCAACCTCCTGAGTAGCTGGGACTACAGGCGTGTACCACCATTCCCAGCTAATTTTTGTATTTTTAGTAGAGACGGGGTTTTACCGTGTTGGCCAGGCTGGTCTCGAACTCCTGACCTCAAAAGATCCATCTGCCTTAGCTTCCCAAAGTGATGGAATTATAAGCATGAGCCACCATGCTCAGCCACCACTACTTTTTTTTTTGATTTGCTCCCTTTTGGACAAATGACCTGTGGAATCTGGGTAGGAGACACAGAGAGTGAAAGCGTTCCTTCAGTGGAAGAAGAGTCCAGTCCCTGGGGGTCCGCATGAGTGTGCCTTCCTCACGGAGAGCCGCACAGTCTGCTCTGAAGGGGTCTGTCCTGGCCCGGGTAGGATCCACCCTCTCACCAGAGCACTCCAGATGAAGAGGGAGCAATGGAAGAGGAGGCGCTAAATCCTTGTTTCCTGGACAGGCACAGTCAGCCTCTCCTGTTTACCTGTTAGTGAAGGCATGCTGAGGGACATTTTTTGATTCTCTTTCACATAGACTTCATAATAGGGTGGACTTGAGGAATGAGAGCAACTTTATATGTAATATAAACACAAGATTACTAGATAAATGAATACATTTTGAACCTCCTAAATTAGTAAGATTGAAAGAGACATTGGAGCTGAGCATGGGTGAAACGGTAACACTGTGGCCCTCATCCCGCAGCCTGTGGCAAGGTGAGCTTCCCCCCGTTAGTGTGCATGCATGCCTGTGTTGCCTTTTTGGAGGGTCACTGAGAACATGTATCAAAGACCTGAAAAATGGATTCAGCATTTCACTTGAGGAATTTATCCTAAAGAAATAATGATTGATCAAAAGTCTGAAGAATGTCCATTATAAATATTTTAAAAAGTCAAATGTCTAACAATAGATTATCGAAACTCTGCTATGTCATGTGTACTTGTTGGAATACCGTGTAGCTTTAAAAATGGTATTTAGGAAAAGTATTCAATAACATAAAAGTTGCATATGTTTTACTAAAATGAATTTTAGAATACATTTTAAAGGTGGCTCAAAATATGTCAAGGATGAAATCCACAGTGCTTTTAATCAACCAGTATTGAGCTCCTTCATGCCCAGTCCTGGTCTAGGTAATGTTGATACACCAGTGAACAAGTCAAACAAAATCTTGTTCTAATAGAACTAAAATTCTGGGAGAGAGGGCAGGACATACATTCCTAATGCCGCATAGCCAACCATCAGGCTGTGAAGAAAATGTAAAGCAGGAAAAGCGAGTAGAGGATGAAGAGCGTGTTCTGTGTGAGATGGCCAAGGAAGCCTCTCCTGTGAGGTCACATTGCAGTGACATCTTAGCAGTAAAACAGTCATACAGATATGGAACAGGGAAGAGTGTTGCAGGTAGAATAGCAGTTGCAGGAGGTCTTGGTCTGTGCTGATCATGTTCCAGGGTATGAGGAGGTCATCCAGAGGGCGGGTGTGGATGAGAAGACAGTAATTGGAAAGGAGATCAGAGGGCCTGGGGTCAGCTCTTCCAGGACTTTGAGATTTCATCCTGGGTGGAAAAGGAGGTCACGTGTTTGTGTATGTATTGCATATATTCACACACAGAAGAAACCCTGTGATGTGTATACAGCAGAGTTTGGAAAGTTGGTATTAGCTGGGTAACTATGGAGGGGATATAGATAACCATTTCTTATCTTTTCTTTCCTTCCACCACATTAGCAGTAGCCCGTTCTGAGTGTGAGGCTGTAATTCCTTTGTATCTCTTAAAAATTTTATTGGGTATATATTTATCATTAAAACAATATTCAATGTTTTGTATGCTTTAAACATTTTTATAAAGGTTATCTTAATCTGTGTGGCCTTTTGCAACGTACTTTTTTGGCTTAACATTGGTTTACAAAATAAATCCCTATCAGTACGTATACTTCATTTTTCACTTCGCTCAAGTATTTCATTGTGTAAATATACCGCAGCTGACGTGTCCCTTCCCTTGGGAAAGGAGACTTTGGGGTGGTTTCTCATTTTTCACTACTACAAATGTTGTTATAACAAACAATATGAATGTTGATAATCATTATTATAATGAACAATGCAATTGTTCATGATTCCTTATGCATTTTTGCAAAACATTCTGCAGGCTATGTACTCTCTAGAAGTCTCATTTAAAAGTACTGTTGCTTGTTTTCATTTTCTGATAAAAGCAGTATAGCATTATAGAAACTTTAGAACACAGAGAAAATACTTGCTAATTTTAAAACTGTCATATTTATGATTTTAATGTACTTCTTTCTAGCTTCTTTATTTTTCTATTCATATCTTTCACAGTGTTATTTACTGCTTAAATATCATTTGCTGGCTGGGTGCTGATACTTGGAATCCCAGCACTTTGGGAGGCAAAGGCAGGAGGATAGCTTGGGCTCAGGAGTTCAAGATCAACCGGGGCAACATGGTGAAATTCCATCTCTACAAAAAAATGGAAGCATTAGCTGTGTGAGGTGGTACCCACCTTTAGTCTCAGCTACTCAGGAGGCTGAGGTTGGAGGATTGCTTGAGCCTGGAGGCAGAGGTTGTAGTGAGCCAAGATCATGCCACTGCACTCCAACCTTGGTGACAGTGAGACCCTGTCTTTAAAAAAAAAAATTGCCTCGTGGATTAAACTCGTTTTAACTTAAACAATGATGGTCTGAGAACACAAATTCTTCTTAAAAAAATCTAAAGCTAAATGTATCTATTTATATTTTGCTTTGGCCTTTTTACTTAGTACCTCTGATTTAACTAATAAAGAAAATGTCCTTTAGATGGTTCTTTATGAAGAACTTTATTTGATTTGTTCACAAGATTGATGATCTTCGCCATACCCACGTGAAGTGGCTCGTAGGCACACAGTTTACCAAGACAAGAAAACATTTCTCTATTTTTTTCTTTTCATGTGATTATTTCCAGTTCTAGCTGGAATTTTTAGTCTTTTAGCTTGAATTTTCATTCTCTGTTTTTTTTAAGTACTTTATCATTTTTTGACATGTATTAGCTTTAGTTATTTTTAGATAAGTACCTCAGTAAGTAACTACTTCAACATTCATATAAAAGATATTGTTGGCTGGGCACGGTGGCTCATGCCTGTAATCCCGGCACTTTGGGAGGCCGAGGCAGGTGGATCATGAGGTCAAGAGATCGAGACCATCCTGGTCAACATGGTGAAACCCCGTCTGTACTAAAAATACAAAAAATTAGCTGGGCACGGTGGTGCGTGCCTGTAATCCCAGCTACTCAGGAGGCTGAGGCAGAATTGCCTGAACCCAGGAGGCGGAGGTTGCGGTGAGCTGAGATGGCGCCATTGCACTCCAGCCTGGGGAACAAGAGCGAAACTCCGTCTCAAAAAAAAAAAAAAAAAAAAGATACTGTTATTCTAGTATGTTTGTGTTTTAAGTTTTTGGAGAAGTGAAAGCCACATTTTCCATTTGAATAATGCTTGATGTTGCCTTCTGATTTTCTTCTGTTCCTTGGTTGGGCAGCAGCAGCCATAATTTATACCACCTTTCAGATGACAAATGGTGAATATTGTTAGTCTGTATGCTCTCACGGTTTATATGCATCTTAACCTTTGATGGAGCAAATCTCTTAAAATGTTGATGTGCATCTTAGGGTTACCTTCAAATCCGAGAAGCAAGCATAGGAGGGCATACTGGTTCTTTTAAAAGGCTTTCAAAAACTTTGAAAACTGGGACTTCCCTCTCGGGGATCCCCTCCCACAACAGTGTGGGAGCTCACTTGCTCTCTCTCTGTCTGCCTAAACAAATCATTTTCTACAAAAAAAAAAAAAAAAAAAAAAAAGAAAACCAAGACAATTTGAAAAAATCTAGACAGAGTTAAAGAATAAACATACATTAACTCTAAAGAAATCTCTTTAAAGGAAACTATTTTAAATAATGCAAATTTGAAAATACATATAGGTGTCTCTTTTTTAACTGAAGAAAATGTTCTTCAACAAGAATTCCTCATAAGCCCTTGAGTTCTTACATTTTCTGTACCAGTTTATTTTAACCCCATTATGTCCAGGGCCAGTAACACCATGTGATCTTTATGCATACCAATATTGACTTTTTGGCCATCTTTTCTTTACTTCTCTAAGGTTTTGTAAGGATCTTCAAGAAAAAGATATCAGTTAACACCTCTAGATTCTTTTAGCCAAAATCCTGCCACTGAAGCATAAAACCGTCTCACAGTTGGTGGTTGTAAAATCCTGTTTCTGTTGTTCACTAATTTTAAAACAAGTGACTTTAAGCTCATTTCTTCTGCTCTCTAACTAAAATTAGGTTTTTTAAAACAGTGATAATTAATAATCTTTCAGTTATTCCTGACAATATTATTTATTAGCTTTTGCTCTGAACTAATTTCTATTTTATTTTCCCATATAATAGAAGTGTAAATTGAAAATAAGCTGATTCTATTACATTATTGTGTCTGGATGAAGATTACCTTTTATATTGTTAGCTTTCTGAACAATTCTTTGAAGCAAAGCTTATGTAATCAGTAACAAAACAGAATGCCATGCTTTTATCAAAATGAATGAGATGGAATAGATCTGTCTATGCACAAGATCTTTAGATAAGGAAAGCTCTGGCTCTAAGGATTTTAAGCACTGTAACTTCTATATAAAATGTCTTCTGCTGCTTTGTTAATACATAATTGGCAACTACGTAAGGCTATGTAGGTGAGAAATCAATCTATGAGGACTTTGATTTTTCAGTCTTATTTAAAAGTCCTTCCTTCCATCCACTCTTTGTGTGCATGTCTCTGTGTTAGAGGTGTGGGCAAAGTAAGAAAAGGAAAAGCAAATTCAGTTGTGTGGAGTCATCCAGAGACAACCATTGTTAGTATCTGTGTGACTTTGGTAAAGTTGCTCTCTCACCTTGTGTCTCAATTTGCTTATCTGTGAATTAGAGATAAAGATACATACTTTGTAAGACTTTTGCCACATTTAAAAGGGGTAACTAATTTATCATACTTGGAAAAGTGTATGGTAGGCACATGATAAGTCCTCAAAGGCAAACATACCCACATAACTTTTTCTCCTTTTACAAAAATGTATAATGTTTTGGACTTGCTCCACATAGTTCTTTGGTTATCTGGATAAATAGGAGAAAGTCTGTGGACAGGCCACGTCAGAAGCAACCCATGTTGTCCAGTCTAACACACTCATGTTTTCAGGTGGCAGTAGTTTACAATGGCCCTTGTTGCTTCCAGTTTTGAGTTTTCTGGGGAGCAGTGTTATAGCATGAATCTCTGGCCTGGTTGGTGCTGAGGTTATGGGAAGACCCAAGTGCTTCTACAATAAGACTTGCTTACTACAGTCCTCCATAAACCACCAATCTGTAATGATCCATTTAAGAGCTCAGGTCTAAACTGTTAAGGTAGAAGCTCCAGTGGTAGAAGGAAGTAGCCTCTTCAGCTTCCCGTTCCTTAAGTGTCTTTTATGTTCCTAGGCTGGCCATGGTGCATTTCCTCGGAATAGGTATGCTATGGAGGTGGATGTGATGGTGGTGACACCTTTTGGCTGTTGAGAATCCTACACATGTGCCATTTATTCAGAGAAACAGATTTGCAAGTGTGTTGTAAAGCAGCTTGGACACTCTAATAGTCCTTGCCTGTTACTGTGATCCTGTTTTCTCTTAAGAGTGTTTAACTCTTGTTTTCAGGTCTTGGGACCTAACCCTCTTTATTCCATCTTCTCTAATACTACTCCATTTGAAGTGGGAGCGTATTTTCACTGACTCCTTGAGTTCTTAGGAACTAGCACAGTTTTGTGGTTTATGATTACTTAATTAATTCGGTTAACTTTTGCTATCTTTAAGCCATGGGTTTAAACGGGTGAAAATTAGAGTCACCTGGGAGTTTAAATAACATATGTGTCTGAGGTCTCTTCCCTGGAAATTAGAGGTAAAAGTATACATTTCAGGTAGGGCCTGAGCAAATTTGTGTTACAAAAAGTCTTTTCAGGTGATTATGATAGGCTTACCTGATTAAAAACTGCTCCTTTAAAATATTGTCTATACTATTTAAATAAAATGTGCTTGGTAATCACATTCTCTTGTCTCAGTGAGTCAGTCACAAACAGAACTTTAAGAAATTACCTCTGACTCATGAACGTGAGTCTGTAGCAGTAAATATTCTCTGAAGTGGGAGTGGCTGCAGAAAAGTATATTTCTTGGATTCAAAGACACATATTTTTCATGTTACTAAAATTCAGCTGTGACTTATAAACAATATGTATATTTACAGTGCTATTGTCTTTCCACCCAAGACTATTACTAAAATAATACTGATGTGTCTTAAAACCAGTGACATCTTTGAATCAAGGAAATGTAGCATTTTATCATGTGACTGTACTCTAAATTTCTTATTTGTGGGCATTCAGGTTATTTATAATTTTTTGTATTCATGCTCGGATCCTAGAATTTTTCCCTTAGGATAAGTTTCTAGAAGTGAAACTGCTTGGTTAAATATGTGCAAATTTTAAGGCTTTTGATAACACCAACTTTCTTAGAACTCTTTTAGGGGGTATCTGCTGCTTTGGCTTACATTTATTTTCTTTGTTTTTCTGTTACTAACTCTAGTTCAGTAAAATGATGAATTTAATTCAAGTTCTTCTTTGTCTCTAATAGGCTTTTTGATAACCACTTTTATTTCACTGCCACTTTGTCATGACTAGTTAGCAGCTTTGAAGAAACTAGCCATCATTCCCTATTGTATGTTCTTCACTCTATTTTGGAGACATCATAATATAAAAATTTCTTTTGTTCTTACAATTCTTTATTTCACACAGTTAACATCACTCTTCATCATCAAAGACTGAATGTATTCCCCTTAAGCTTAGCAGTAAGGGTGTCTGCTCCCACCACTTCTACTCAACACTGTATTGAAGGTAAAGTAAATAGGGCAGTTAGGTAAGAAAATGAAGTAAAAGGCATTTAGATATAAAGAAAGAAGTAAGTCTATCTCTAGTCACAGATGGCATGATCTTGTGTATAGGAAAACCTAGGGAATCTACACACAAAAATATTGTAACTAAAAAAAATGAATTAGCAGGGTTGCAGGATACAAGATAAACATACAAAAGTCACTTGTATTTCTAACAATGACCATCTCAAAATAAAATTAGGATAACAATTCTATTTATAATCTCATCAAAAAGAAAATAATAGGAATAAACTTAAAGGAATAAACAAAATAATAGGAATAAACTTTCTGCTTTAATTTCAGAAATTATTTAATTTCAGAAATTATATACTGAAAACTAAAATAATTTTGAGAAAAAAAAGGTCTGAATAAATGGAACATCATGGGTCGAAAGGCTTAATATTGTTAAGTTGGCAGCACTCTTCAGATTGCTCTACAGATTTAATTCAGCTCCTAACAGAATCCTAGCTGGCTTTAATTATTATTATTTTTAGTTTTTTTGCAGAAATTGACAAGTTGATCCTAAAACTGATAGCAAATGCAAGGAACTCAGAGTAGCTAATATATCATTTAAAAATAAAATAGGTCAAAGTTGGAGGATTTGCACTTTCCCATTCCCAAACTTATTACAAACTGCATGATTAAGACAGTGTGGTACTGACATAAAGATAGGTGCATAGGTCAGTGGATGTAATGGAGAGTCCAAAAATAAACCTTTACATTTATGACACATTGATTTTCAACTAGGGCACCAAAATGATAACTCGTAACTCAACAACTAAAAGATAAATAACCTAGGAAAAGAGTGGGTAAAGGATTGGAATAGATATTTACCCAGAGAAGATATACAAATGGCCCATAGGCATTTGAAATAAGCATAAGAAGCATGTGAAAAGTTGCTCAAATCATTTTTCAGTAGAGGAATGCAAATGAAAACCACAGACACTTCTTCACCCAGTAGGATGGCTAAAATACCAAGGGAAGACAGTAACAAGTGTTGCTGAGGATGTGGAAACACTGGAACCTCCATTAGTTGCTGGTGAGCATGTAAAGTGGTGCAACCACTTTGAGGAACAGTTTAGTAGTTCCTCAAAATACTGCACATAGAATTACCATGTCACCCAGAATAGGCAAATCCATACAGACAGAAGGTGGATGAGTCATTGCCTAGGAATGGGAGGGGATGGGAGGTGACTTGCAGTGGGTATGGTACTTCTTTTTGAGGTGATGGAAATGTTCTAAAATTGGATGATGGTGATGGTTGTACAACTCTGTGAAGGTACTAGAACAATAAATTATGTACTTTTAAAGTTAATTTTATGGCATGTGAATTATATATAAATAAAGCTATTATTTAAAAACAATAAGGTGTGCTAAAGGACCTAAGTGAGGTCTTATTGTGCTAATCAGCCTTTGTCTTTAGTGGAGACCATGGCAAATAGATGGCACATGCCATTTGATGCCTGCCTTCTTTGCAAATGGAGCATAACACCAATTGTTCATGGCTGCTTTTTCTGTGAGTCCAAGAGTGGCTTTAGGATACTTCTCAAAACAGTGCTTCCAGTAACTCCTGGAAATACACTGGCAAAGATCAGATGAAAGATATCATGGTGTTTCAGGAGACTACTAACAGTTTCCTGGTATTGACAGATACAGCAAGACAAAGCTAGAGATCTCTCTCTTCTTAAGGTTAGGGGTTTGAAGAGAGCACTGTATGTCAGTGGGAGAGCTGGGGAGAGTCTGGGCTGGGCTGGGCTGGTGTGCTACATAGAGTGCAGTCAGGCTGGAGAGGTACGTGGAAGGAAGCACAGCATTTGGAGGAAGGAGTCATGATGTTGCTTATAGACGATGGCATTGGGGTGTGTAGAGAATTGGGCCATCAGTGGACTGAAGCCAGCTTTGGGGTGACTGGATAAAGAGGGGTGCATGACATCAGAAAGACAGCCGTGACATTCCTGGAATGTGGCGTTCAGGAAGCCAAGGATGCGGAGTTAGAAAGAGGGCCTGGTGTACGATTGTGATGCACAGAGGAATGGGAAGTTTCTTGAGATAGTCCACCGTGCTTGCGAATGGTTTTAGTCAAGTGGTGGTGGAAGGAAACTGGGGCAAATCAATAAGTAAACTGGATGTGAAAAGGTTTCCGATGGTGCAGAGGCCAGACTAAGGGAGGAGAAGACTTGATGTGCTTAGTGTGACGTGGTTTGTAGGGCCACGGAGGCTCATGACTGGGGGAGAGCACACCATGTGGCTGAAGAGAGTTGGCAGAGCAGCTGATAAGGAGTGAGAGATACAGGCTGTCAGGTTGGTTTTGAATGGAAAAAAGACTGGAAGAATCCATGTTTGTCATGCCTATCGAAGGGCTTTTCAAATAGGACACTTGAGAAAAATGCTGTTTCAGTAAGTAGAAGAAACATTCTCCAGCAGCACTCTTAATTTGGTATATTTGTTATACAAAAAACAAAAAAAACAAATAAAAAAGATTATTGTGCTTTCAGTGGAAATTCATAGTGTTCCGATATTTATAGTTTCGACTGAAGCAAGTCATCAGTAATAGTAAGACTATTGGAGAGGTTTCTTTATCTATGGTGAGATTGACAGGAAGAATATTCCTGTAACATGTCAGAAAGCATGCAGCCTTTAAAAATGATGGACTAATGCTAATACCATATTAGTGCTATAATGGGCTTCACAATAAATTACGGGGATATAAAAGTTTTTTTCTAGATACCATCATATTAATATAGTCAGATTTTTACTTAAAAAGTGAGATGAAAGCACTATACTTGTTCATTCCACTGCAGTTATATAATAATGCACTATGTAAGAAAATTGATAAGTATGGTTATTTTATCTTGGAATTGTTTTGTGTTCCTAAATACTTTTATTCTGTAAGAAAAATTTAAGTGAAGAAATTAAGTATAGGATTTTTATGTCAGTCATTGTAAATTTTGTCTTCGAATTCCCCAGTATTCTAAATATAATTCATGGGTTTATTGAAGATTGTTAATTTATCTTTCATTGGGTTACTAGATATTTTCCTCTTTTTTTTTTTTTTTTTTTTTGAGACAGAATCTTGCTCTGTCGCCAGGCTGGAGTGTGCAGTGGTGCGATCTTGGCTCACTGCAACCTCTGACTTCCTGGTTCAAGCGATTCTCCTGCCTCAGCCTCCTGAGTAGCTGGAATTACAGGTGTGAGCCACCACACCCAGCCTGTTACTAGGTATTTTCTGATGTTTAGCTTCAAGTACATATTAGGAGATGAATTAACAATTTTGAGAGCATACCAAGAGTTGTAAACCTTTTACAGTTAATACTTTTGTAATATTACATTGTTACTTTTTTGGCTTTTTTGGTTTTCATTTTATGTTTTAGAGAGTAATATAAATTGCAGGAAAAAAGTCAAACTAAAAACAAATCATTTTTAATGTTAAAGTTTAGTTTTCTAAAATGCCTTATTTTATTTTTTTTTATAGGGATTTGTCTTGGCTGTTACTATGATGCGGGAAGCAATTGACGAATTTCGGCGTTTTCAGCGTGACAAGGAAGTGAATTCCCAGCTATATAGCAAGCTTACAGTAAGAGGTCAGCAAGATGCTTTAATCCTACTTAGCATTTGCCTACTGTAATCATTTCAGAGTTAACATAGCAAGTATGTGAGAACATTTTAATTCTATTATTGAAAATAGTATTACGTGACTGTATATTGATATTTAATTGATTTCCTTATAATGTATAATGCATGCAATTTTAGGGGAGATTTTTGTTCATTCTCTAGATGTTTGCATGTATATTGTGCACACATATATACAAACGCATACACCACACGAGCATGTACATATATTGTTGACCCTTATATAATGTGCTCTATTGATACATACACATTTTCTGAGAAGAGTAATGCCACTTTATCTAAAATCTATCTTGGTACTGTATTTTAAACACACTCATAATAGTCAAATGTCTATACTGGGGCGTTAACCTACACTAATTACAAAGGCCTTTGAACGGCAGAAATAAATATTGTCATCTAAGATGGAACTGATGTGTGCATGTTTCTCCTTAACCGTCATTCAGGCCTTAACTCTCGCTTAACTTAAAGCCTTCAAGCACTTGTTTAGCTGATGTTTCATTCGATAGTAGAGAAAGAAGCAATGTATGAAGAAGAGAGTTGGGGAAATGATTGCAAGTAGGCATAAGACAGTAAAAAAGTGACTGAAAACCTTAGGAATGAGGGAGACAGTGGGAAACCGAGTGGGTATTCATAATAACCCCAGAATCTGTTGAAAAGGTTTACAGTGGATTTTTCATCTTCTGTATGTAAGAGGATGTTTACAATGAATTATTTAACTTATGAAATAGTACCTTCAAAAATTACTTATTTTTAACACCTTATTGCGCTGTATTTCCCATAACAAAATGTGTCCATGTAAAGTATACAGTTCAGCGGTTTTTGGTGTATTCATGAAGTTACATAGCCATCACCATCACTTAAGTCATTTAAGAGTAGTACGCTTTTGACGTTCCCAGGAGGAACCCTGAGTACATTAGAAGTCAGTACTCTTGCTGCTTCCCTCCGCACCCTACCCCAGCCCCAGGTGGCCACTATTCTCCTTTCTGGCTCTGTGGTTTTGCTCCGCTCTGGACATTTTATCAGTGGAATTATGCAGTCTCTGGTCTTCTGTCACCAGCCTCTTTCCCTGGGCATGTTTTCAAGGTTCATCTTGTAGTAGCATTCATCAGTACTTTATTTCTCTTGGCTGCTCAGTAATATTCCAGTGTAGGTACAGCACATTTTGTGTATCAGTTCATTAGTGGATGGATATTTGGGTTGTTTCTACTTTGTGACTGTTGTGAATAATGCAGCTATGGACATCTGTGTACAGGCGTCTGTATCAATTTTGTTTTCATCCTGGATACATACCTGGGAGTGAAATTCCTGGATTATTTGGTAACTCTATGGTTAGCATTATAAAGAATTGTCAACCTGCAATCATCCTAGTTTGCAGCGTATTCCAAAAGAATTGTTTCTGTCTCTAACCTGTCTAGGGACTGCTTGGAGAATCAACCCTAGGTGCTTGTCTTTTGTTTCCCTAACTTGAACTCAGGACAGAAAAGTAGAAATGTAGCAGCATTTATCAAACATATGCAAGGCTGAGGAACAGCCTCCAGTAGCCTAGGGCAAAAGATGGCAGTGGAGCCAGACAGTAGAGTGTCAAATCCAGGCAGAAGAAGCTGGGGAGGGAGCTTCTTTGGGAAATTTGAATATTTAGAAGTGCCCCTGTGTATGCAGGGGAATTGTGAAAGCTAAGAACTGGAGGAATGCTCAGAAAAGACCTGAAGTCTTTCCCTCTAGCCAGTCTCCAGGCTCAGTGCAAGTAGGAAAGGCAGGCCGCAGCAGGGTTGTGAATGGCCTGGCTGAATCCTGAAGAAAGCTGCAGCACAGAGCCAGGCTGCAAAGCCCAGGGCAGGTTTTGTTTGGGTTTGTTTCTTCCTCCCCCTTCCTCTCCTTTTTCTCTCTTCATATTGAAGGAAATCTTTGTCAAAACACTGGCTTGAATATAACTGAATGGAAGAGAGACTTTAGAGACCATCCATGGTGAAGAATACACCCTTTACAAAAATAGTTCAGAAGAATCAGTAAACAAACACAGCTACAGCATATAACAATAAAATCAACCAAGAAGAGGGAGAAATACCTAATTTTCAGAATTACCAGATTATAATGTATGTTCAGGTTTTTTTTTTTTTTTGTTTTTCTTTTTTCAGACAGAGTCTTGCTCTGTCGCCCAAGCTGGAGTGCAGTGGCACGATCTCAGCTCACTTCAGCCTCCAACCTCCACCTCCTGGGTTCAGGCGATTCTCCTGCCTCAGCCTCCGAAGTAGCTGGAATTGCAGGCATGCACCACCATGCCTGGCTATTTTTTGTATTTTGTAGAGACGGGGTTTCATGTTGACCAGGCTGGTCTTGAACTCCTGACCTCAGGTGATCCACTCACCTTAGCTTCCCAGAGTGCTGGGATTATAGGCGTGAGCCATCATGCCCCTGGTGTATGTCCAGTTTTCCACAAAAAAAGCTTTAAAAAGCATGCATTAAACAAAGTGTGGCCCGTTCCCAGAAGAAGGTGACAGTAGTTGCCCTGAAGGAAGGCCAGGCGTCAGACTTGAGACAAAGTTTAACTTAGCCGTCTTTAATGTGCCAAGGCACTCAAGGAAGCCGTGGGGACATCGCTTAGAAGACATACAAGCGGAGAATGATGTAAAGGAAGCACACAAATTGTGGCACTCAAAAGTAGAGTAAGTGAAAAGAAACACTCGCTACAGGGTTTCAGTAGTGGAATTGAGCACAACAAAGAAAGAATCAGTGAACGTAAGCCTAGGTCAATTGTACGTATTCAGTTTGAAAAGCAGAAAGAATGAAAAAAACATGAACAGCTCTTAAGAGACCTGTGGGGCAGCATCAAGCATACCACATACACATGATGGAGTTGGAAGAAGGTGAGGAGAGAGAGAGAAGACAGTGAAAATACGAAGGAGTAATGGCCAAAAAGTTTCCACATTCGATAAAAGATATTAATCTCTACATTGAGGAAGTACAGCAAACCCCATGAAGCATAACACCAGAAAAATCCACACTGAGATGCATAACCAAGCAGCTGACACCCAGAGACCAAGAGGACACTCTGAAAACAGAGAGAGAGGTAACTGGCCACACACAAGGGATCCTCAGTAGGATTTATCAGAAGCCATGGAGGCCTGAAGGCAGTGGGGTGACATTTTAAAACTGGTGAGAGGAAGAAAAACCTGTTAACTAAAAATTCTGTGCCTGGTAAAAGTGTCATTCAGAAATGAAGACGTTGGCTGGGCCTGGTGGCTTATGCTGTAATACCAGCACTTTGGGAGGCTGAGGCAGGTGGATCACCTGCGGTCAGGAGTTTGAGACCAGCCTGGCCAGTGTGGTGAAACCCTGTCTCTTCTAAAAATACTGAAGTTATCTGGGCATGGTGGCATGCATCTGTAATCCCAGTTAGGTGGGAGGCTTAGGCAGGAGAATCGCTTGAACCCGGAAGGCAGAGGTTGCAGGGAGCCAAGATCATGCCACTGCACTCCAGCCTGGGTGAAACAGTGAGACTCTGTCTCAGAAAAAAACAAAACAAAACAAAACGATGAAGACATTCATAGATAAACAAAAGCAAGTAAGTTTTCGTGCATCTAAGGGCATTATCAAGAAAACGAAAAGACAGAATGGGAGAAAATTGGAAATCTGATAAGGATCCAGTATCCAGAATACATAAAGAACTCTTAGGATTTCAACATCAGAAAGATAACCCAATTAGAAAATAGGCAAAAGGCCTGAATAATCAATTCTGTGAAGAAGGTATACAAATGGCCAGCATGTTTATGAAGCAATGGTTAGTAAGCAGCCTTAGACCATAGGGGAATGCAGATCTATAGTGAGATACCACCTAACACCACTAGGTTGACTGTAATTTAAAACATATAGAATATTGAGTGCTGGAGAGGATCTAGAGAAATTGGAATCTTTGCACATTGCTTGTGGGAACAAAATGGTTCAGCAGCTATGGAAAACATACTTTTGGTTTCTCAAAAAGTTCAGAGGAATTTAAAGCAGGGACCCAAGCAATAAACTGTGTTTATTCACTATTCACAATAGCCAAAAAGGTGATAATAGCCTGGATGTTCACTGAAAGATGAGTGGATAAGCAAATGAATGGACAGCAGATTTCTACAATGGAATTTTATTCAGGCATAGAATCATGAAGGGTTGCTACATGCTACAGCCTGGATTAACCTCAGAAACATCATGCTATGTGAAAGAAGCCCAGATGCAACAGATCACATATTGTATGACTTCATCGATTTGAAATCTCTAGAACTGGCAAATTAGTAGAGATAGACGGCAGATTGGAGGTGCTGTGGATGAGTGGAAGAAGGAGCAGGAAGCATCTGCCTGGCAGGCATTGGGTTTCCTTTTTTCATGATGAAAATGTTTTGGGAGTTTGGTAGAGTTGGTTCCACAACGTTGTGAATCATTCACTTTAAAATGGCATTTTATGTTACATTAGTTTCACCCAAAAATGGTATAAAATGTTGAGGAAGACATTCTACTGTTAGGTCTTTTGTACTTCTGTGATACTTGAACTTCAGGTACTTAAAAATAGTTTTCAGTATGTTTATTTTAAATGTAAATGAAATTACCATTTTAAAAAAATGAGCCATCGTTGCTGGTGATCTAAGAAGTTTCACATATCAATGATGATGATGACATAGCTGCTTTTTTACTTCCTTGTGTGTGTCAGGTAACATTCAGAGTACTGGTTCTCACATCCAGCATCGTCCAAGGGGGAGTCAATGTGCTCTCCAAGTTAAACTTGCAGTTTATGCTGAATAATTTGTCCCGAGTCACAGTAGTTTTAGATAGAGCTGGTGCTTGCACCTAGATCATTCTAACTCCAGTCCAGGGTTCTTTCAGCTGTGCTTCATGGCTGGTGGTTCTGATACAGATGTTTGATGAGTGAAATCTGTAGTATTAAAAAATGCAGGCTGGGCGTGTGGCTCACGCC